CCATATAACTCCTCTTCTGGGTATCTACCCCCAAAATTTGAAAACATTTATTCATTGATATATGCACACCTGTGTTCATTGTAAATGGCATTATTCACAGTGGCCAGGACAATGATTAGATAAAGAAGATGTCGTACGTATAAACAATGGAATATCACTCAGCCATAGAAAAGACGCAACACTGCCATTTTTGAAAACACGGATAGATCTTGAGAATATCATACTAAGCTAAGTAAGTCAGTCAGAAAAAGTTAAGAACCATCTGATTTCACTCATATGTGGGATATAAAACTGAAAGCAACAAATGTTGTCTCTGTCCATGAGTCTTTCAAGTGGTGTTTGAAATGTCCAAAATAGCATTGACCTTTACCAAAGATACTTCCTTTTTAAGGTTAATATCAAGAAAAGTAAATATCCATGCTTTTTGATATTTCTAAGAGTAAAAGCTCACTGACCACTTTATTTATTTATTTTTTTGATGGAGGCATCCAGACTTGTGCATTTGCTTCTAGATCTAGATGCATGTTGATTTTGTTTTGAAAACTGGTTACTGGTTTATTATCAATCAATTATTTTTATACGTGCCTGGGTCCTCAGTGGCTAATTGCAAGTCTTTTATTCTACATTGGGGCTCCTATTTAGGTTCAGATGACATCAACTAATATTAGTTTAATTAATGTACATTTTGAAAATTTATCTCATTAAACAAATAAAATGTATTTCAAAGACAACTGTAAATTGACTTTAGGATTGTTTGAAGTTTCCTTTAAGAAGGGGGACAATTAACTCTAGCCCTAAAATGATGTGGGAAACCCAATACATTGAGCAATCATATATTTTTTAAATGTTTAAACTTTATTTTATTTTTAGCAGCTAATATGAATAAAACAGATTCTAGAATCTGAAAGAGAGCAGTTCTCATCACTAATCCACTTTAAAAATTCTGTTGTTCATCCCCTTGAAAGATATTTCTTTAAGGACCTGTTTCCGTTCTTCATTGCCTTCTTGCCCTCATTGGACAATTTATGCTTATTTTGAACTGCTGTCCATACAAGCTGAATTCGACTTGAAGGTGATTTTGTACATCACTCAGCCATAGAAAAGACGCAACACTGCCATTACCTGTATATCGGATAGATCTTGAGAATATCATACTAAGCTAAGTAAGTCAGTCAGAAAAAGTTAAGAACCATCTGATTTCACTCATATGTGGGATATAAAACTGAAAGCAACAAATGTTGTCTCTGTCCATGAGTCTTTCAAGTGGTGTTTGAAATGTCCAAAATAGCATTGACCTTTACCAAAGATACTTCCTTTTTAAGGTTAATATCATAGAAGATAGAGATCCTTAAGTAAAATGCTATTTTCCTTGAGTCTAAAGATGACAGGTGCTGCCTTTGTGTCTTTGTAGAGCAGCAGATACCTCGGAGCTCAAAAATGGTTCTAAATCTTGCATAATCCAAAAACCCTTGGGATTATGTTGCTAAAAGTCTTCTGCTCCCTATAAATTTTCCCTTAGCAAACAGGGATGAGGTAAATATTCAGTCAAAAGATGATCAAATTTTAAACTAGTGAAAACTGTTGTGACTAGTGATACTAGTGCAGAATATACTGGCAGCTGAGGACAATTTGACCTACAAGGATAGATTCACATTCATAGGCCTATAGAACAGGTTTCACTTGTGAAAATATTATGCTTGTGATCATATGAGATATTTAAAGATAGCGTGGGACTGTTTTATGTGTGTTCCTTACCCAGTTCAAATATTTTAGGAATGTATATGGGTTAACATGACTATTTTCTAACTATGCCAGATGTTAAGACCTCTCCCGATAACTTTTATTACAAAACTACCCAAAGTGGTGAGTGGATTGGGCAGATGTGATGGGTGTTGATATGTCATAATGAAATAATGATAGCATTTATATTCTTTCTGGAAAACAGATGGCTGATATCACACTGCTTCAGGTATGGAAGGGAAGGTTCAAGATATGACATTGTTGAAGCAGAATACATGAAGATAACATTCTTGACTATGAAAATAATCTCAAAGATTTTAGGTTGGTATTATTAATTATGATGTTTTGTTAACTGCTAGAAACATTCACTAAAAATACCAAACCAAATCAATGGTAAACTGTAATATCAAAAATTTGATGCAGAATGAGGTAAGCAATACTTGGGAGTGAAATTTTTAAATAAATTGTGTCAAGCAGACTAGGCAATTGAGTAAAAAACAGCTGCATATCAACATAACACAATACTCTTTTATGTAGCTGGAAAATAATCTATGGGCTACACTCTCTAGGGCTCTATCTGAAGATAGTGAAACCTTTATCATTGAACACTCAACATTCACAAAGTGATGGGCAGAGCACTTCAGCACAATGCACAATTTGCCATCAAGTTTGCCCTCCTTATATTCACAATATTATCTCATTATGAGTCAATATAGGACATTATATTTATTTTGCCTATTATGAAGGCAAAGAACCATCATCTGGTAGAGTACCTACTCTTAAAGGAGTCCTCATAAAAATAAAAAATAAAAACAACAAAAGCATCAGCCCAAAACTCATCAAATGATTGCTTCAATTATTTAACCACTCATAAAAGAAGAAACAGGTGCATTTTGAAGGTGTTTCAATTATACAAACTCAAGAGAGGGGGTAGCAAATGCTGCAATAATCATTGAGGTGTGTAATTTGTGTATTATAGATATGATAAAAGTACAATCCACATAGGTCAATTACCCTCAACTTAGCATACATTTCAAGCATGTCTAGAATAAAGATAATATAAAAGAAGAGAACTATAAAGCTTTTTGTGCAGACATGGAAATGTGACAAATATGCTATCTAAATAGAAACTTTTTTGGAAGGCATTGCATATTTGAAACATTAAGGTTTTCATTAAAATTTGATAATGTAATAATGATGCAAATCATCCATATCCTGTGTGACTGGTCATCAGGTATTAGCATAATGCAAAATTATTTTTAAAACTCTGAATGCAGTGAATAGATAGTATATTTCAAATAAGTGGTTTATTAATATTTATTGGCTTTTATCTATGAGTTTCTGAATTAAACATTTTCCAAGCTTTAAAGTGATAGTGCAGTATGCATTTTGTTAATCACTTTCTATATTACTTTTCCTCAAGATGTTTCCTTTGTGGCACTTTATCTTTAAGTGGAAGAACTGATTTGAACTATAACAATGATTAGGAACATCACATGTATCCTTCCACCAGATGTCTGGGAAGATAGATATTACAAAACCTGAAAGGAACTCTGTGTCAAAGAGTAAACCATAAAAACAGTGATACTTAGCTTGAAGAACTAACATGACACTCAGGCAACTAGATTTGGGCATATACATTTGAAACATGAGTATATAGTTTTAAATAATAAACACTAACTTAATAGAACTGTTTTTGAAGACTCCTAATAGTAAGAAAACCTTTCATTTAATTCACTTTTATAATAATAGATGATATTTCATTTATATTATCTATTGAAATCTCCACAATAATCATGGAGGATAAGTAGAGAAGAAGATACATCTGTTAGAGGTGAAAGAACTCAAGTTGTGTCAGATTAAGTAGCCAAGGTCAGTAGTGGGGTTGGGACTGCAACCCAGAGCTCCTGAAAATAAATATGTAAAATTCCTAGTACAGTGACAGATCCTTTTTATGGACTGGATGAAAGACATATCCCACCCCCCCCAACTAACCCAGTGCTCTTCCACTTCATGGCACTGCCCAGTTCTACAGCAGTAGATTTAAATAATATACAAAGTAACTGTAGATAGAAACTTGAATGAAACTGAAATAAAGAAAACAGAATAAGCCTTTAGTCATAATAATTACTGCAAATAAGAGTAATCCAGACATTTTTAATGGTAGGGATTACCATCCTTTATGGTAATAAGTTTTCATTCTTGAACTGGAATGATTTATAACAAAAACTAGTAACTACAAAATAAGTAAAAGTAACTACTTAAGTAGTATCACTTGATAATTTTTTTTAAGAAAAGAGCACATGAAGAAATACATCTCTATTAGTGCATAAATAAAAATGTTAATAAGGTAAAATTGGTCACAAGTATAAAATAATATCAAGAAATTTGAAAGTTCTTGCTAAGTTTAATTCATTTTAACACATTTTGAAAAAAACATTAATGTATCCTAGCAAATCTTACTAATTAGACCAGGAATCTATTGCTTTTTTACTTCTTTAATTTATTCATCTTTATCCTTAATTTAAGGATAACTTAGGAAAAGATGAAAATCACTGCATTTGTTTGTTCTGCAATCATATATGTTCTATTCTACATAATATTTCCTTTGCTTTCATATTTTGTTTATTCTATAGTGCATATTATTTGGGTTTTTGGCCTTGGCAATAGGACTTTTCTTACAAAATGTACTGACAAATTTGAAATTGGTCAAAAAGCAGTTCAGGAAGATAAACCAAGTGAATCTAGTTTTACAACAATATGTTAAACATTCAAAATATACTTTGACTAAGAAATTTTAAAATGCCATCATTTTCTTTCTGGATAGTGATTTTTTTCACCTTATTCTCTCTGGGCCTGACTTTATTCTCTGAAAGCTGACCGGTCCTTGACAATTGTATTTTGATAACATAATTCAGTAGAGGACTTCTCTAGATTATATGTCCTCATTATGATCACTGTACTCAAAACCTAAATTGTACATGAGAATTATGGCAAGGCTGAAATTTCTCATTCCTACAAAAATTTTTAAATATTTTTCTTTAAACCTATCTCTTTTGATCAGTGTCTTTGATGGGGTGAACTTTAGCCTGGCTTAGTTATACAAACACAAGGTCTACATCCTGTCTTAAAAAACAAACAAAAGAAAAACTTAACCACTTTCATGTTATTAACTTTACCAATTTCAAAGCACTTCATCTTTCAAAAATAGAAATAAACAGATTTAATTTAAACATTATGTGCATTTAGATGAGACTCACCTTTAAAGAATCAAAACAAGCCACCACACGGCCATTTTCCACATGGCAATCTCTTGGTGGATGGGCAAACTTGCAGTCTGCATCAGCTCGAGAACAGGTTCCTCTCTGAAATTCTCTACAGACTTCTAAAGTCAGCCACTTGGTATCACGAACCAGGGCAACATTGACAGCCGTCATATTGAAAGCAAAATAAAATCAAGTGCACCCTAAGACAGTATTACTGCTGTTGTTAAAAGATTAAAAATGAATTCAAGCTAAATGTAAAGAGATCACAGATTGCTTTGGTGAAATATTTCTTCGTTAGCACTTAGGTTTTCATTTAAGTCAAATTAGGTCTAGTCAAACAAAAAGCCAATCATACAATAAAAATTGTATCAGAATAACTAAAAACCAAATTAGAAACCAACTTCTAAGAAGGCAACCATAAAGGTTAAAATATTGAGTGTTTTATTTTGTTCTTCTGCCAAAGTTACTTCAAATAACTGGTGGACTTTCAAAAGAATTATGTGCTCTCCAGTTGATGTTTTCAATTATTTTGGCAAAAAGCATATGCTGTTGGCTGCCCTTCAATTTGTGAAATGGTCTCAGTTCAGGGGGAGAAAAGTTTTTCTCCCTATTTCTTGGCTTTAAAGATTATGGTTTGTAAGGATGTTACAATTGTAAAAACAAAAAATTGCTGCAAAATCAGGATGAGGGAAATTGACTATGAAAAACTGAGAATCAAAGAAATTAAAAGAATGAGCACACCAGGTTTTGGGTGGTGGTGGTGGTGGTAAGGAGAGGAGTTTATAAAGAGACAGCTCTAGAGTGGAATCAAAGCAGAAGAGCTTTCAGAAAAGACACCTCAGAAACCTGCAAGGAAAACATAAAATAAAATTAGCAAATATCATACAATGTTTCTGATTTAAACTCTAGATTTAGAAAAGAAGTAACTATATACTATTTAAAACAGGAGGCATCTAAATACTGACAGTGCAATACACTTCAATTAGCCATTGTCAATAAAATGTGAATTTCCCAGTGTAGAATTGTACACAGTAAAAGGAAGCAAATACTTAGATTCACTGTTGTAATACAAGACTAGGCAACAACCCAATTTTAAAAAGAATTCTTAATTTTGATCATTTGGGGTAAGAAATTCATTCTTGTGTCTACTGCACAGAAAATCCCAGAGCCTGACATGAGAGACTCTTACACAGTTATGATGCACCTGCACGTCTCAAGTTTTTACAGGCTACCACAGACCTGTCTTTAAACTGGCCTTACTACATTCTGATTGAAGGCTTATCTGCTCTCAAATCCAGAAAACAGGAATTGTTAAGAAAATTTAAGTTGCTCTACGAGGTAACTCTGTATGTGTACTTGAAATGTAATTGTTTATGATCACATAAAATGGTCATGACATAACTAGCTGGAGACCCACAGAAAATGAGGCAGGATAGAGGCTAGAAATGTAACATGTGCTTCACATAAAGAAATCCTTTGAAAAGATGCTGGGTTTTTTTTTCTGTGTATGCTCTATTAGCTATTAGTCTCCATGAAGGGATATTGGAACAACTTAGAAAAAGGTTTCAGCATGTACAAATAAGTGAGACAGAAAGCACTGTTCATTCATACATTCAGTATTTTGTGCAGCTTTAAGGTTTGTAGTTTAACCCAGTGTCAACCAGCAACAAATTCTAGCAATTCAGCTGATAAGGCAGATGAAAGGTTAATTTACTGGCAGTATGCCATGAACACATACTGAAGTAACAGGGAATTTCTAAAACAAAAGTAAGCAATGAGTACAAGGCAAATCAACTAACTGTTAACTTTATTTTAAAAAAAGTAGAATTACAGTTCTTTAAAATTTTTCATTTATTTTTTAAACATTGTCTTCTATAACTTTGTAGAATCTGAATTTGCTATTTGTCTTTTCCACATTCAAGATGAAGTTCAATATCACCTAATTTTTCAGATGCCAAGGAGAAATTAAGTATCTAGGAAATCCATGCAAGCTTATCCATTCAAAAGCAAAGGGTGAATTTCTTGAGTCATTTTTTATGGAAATCTTTCTAAAATGTGTTATATGTAGCTTTGACTTCTTAGAAAATATTGAACATAATTTGGCCTCTGGTTGAATGCTTAGGGTCACAAATGTCCTAGGAAATATTATAGTTCTTCTTCGGTGGCAGATGAATATTTGTCACTTCTATTATTTTTTTACTTGAAAATGTATTTATTTATTTTAAATTTTATTTTTCAATTACAGCTTCATTCAATATTATCTTTTTGTATTAGTTTCCTGTGTACGCTGTAGTGGTTAGACTTCTACTCTTACTTGCCACAATATCTGCCATAGTGGACTATCTAGCTCCCTTCTGTAAAACATAATAGTCAATCATGAATGTTGAATAAGAGTTACTCAGTGAATGAGGGGCCTCAGGGAGCAAAGTGCAGGGCTTTCATGCAGAAGATCTATGACTGCTCTTATTTGTGTAGGGGACCTTTCACAATATGTTCCATAAAGGACCCTGTTCTAGAGGGCTAAGGTTGTCAGGCAAATGACCCCTAGAAAAAAAATATATGGAAGTAGCCAGATGAGGGAAATGGAAGTGAAAACCACAGTGTGATACTACTCTACACCCATTAGGATGGCCCTAATAAAAACAGAAATGGGGAAGAAATTTGAGTTGTTATACATTGTTGGTGGGAATGTAAAATAGTGTACCTGCTGTGGCAGTCTGAAAGTTCCTCAAAATGTTAAACAGTTACCATATGACCTAGCCCTTCTATGCCTAGGTACATACCAAAAGAATTGAAAGCAGGGTCTCAAAGAAATATTTGTACACTTACGTGCATAGCAGCACTATTCACAATAGTTAAAAGGTAGAAAAAACCCAAGTGTCTCTCAACAGATGAATGGATACACAACATGTGATATATCCACAAAATGGAATATTATTCAACACAAAAGGAATGAAGTGCTGATACATGCTACAACATGAATGGACCTCGAAAACATTATGCTAAGTGGAAGAAGCCAGTCACAATTGCCACATATTGTATGGTTCAATTTATATTAAATATCCAGAATAGGCAATCCATAGAGTAAAAAAGCAAATTAGTGATTGTGAGGGCCGAGGCAAGGGGATAAAGTAGAATAACTACTTAATGGGTATGTGGTCTCCTTTGGAGATAATGAAAATATTCTGGAATTAGATAGTGATGATGGTCCTATTCACTACCTTGTACACTTTAAGTGGGTGAATTGGATAGTATGTGTATTATATATTAGTGATGTTATTATGTTTCTTAAAAGTCTGCAGACACATGAAAACAAAAAAAGCCTCATGAATGATGAAATTGGCTATAACATTCTTTCTTAGATTCTCCTTGGACACAAATTCTAATTAGTGCTACTAAGTTGAATTTCAAGAATACATTAAGTTCCATACTGTAACTGACTTAGTATATAACGGAAAGTACTGTAAAAGTATATATTCTGTGAGTTTATGAGTTTATATTTAAAGAAAATTTTGACAACTAAATTATATAGGCTGCCTGAATGCATTTTAAAGAAAAATACCTCCCCCAAATTTATACATATATACACATAATTTGCTCATAATATAAACAGTGAGGGTCTGGAGAAATATTTTTTCTACAGAGGTCCATGAAGTATAGAAACAGATACTAAATAATAAATTTTGAACTTTTACATGAATAATGCAAACAGAAAATGGACTCTGGCCATACATTTTATGTAAGATAGGGGTAATTGAAGAAGGAATTTTCATGTGTGTTTTTTTAAGTCAGCCTGTAACCTCCTCTGGGTCCCTAGCCAAATCCTCAAAACACTTCCTTCAGACTGGAACTATTTTTGGAACTGGCATAGAAAAAGCTAGATGCAACAACTAAAGAGAGCTGTTGTGATGATGGAAAGAATTTCTCTCCTGCAGCTGTGCTTATCTGACTGTGTATAAAAGACAGGGACGGTGTCCATTTTCCCTATATTTTAAATAAGATCAACTTTTGCAGACAATACAGTTTTATCTTCACTGCCTTAGATTTGAGTAATAGTAATACAATTTTGCTTGATTATGTTTTTTACTACTCTAATGTAGAGCATAAAGTTTCCATTGCTTAGCATATTTGTATTTGTATAGTATTTGCAATTCACACGTGCTTTCATTCCATTCATCATTGGAGCTCTAAATTATACTCAAAAGCAAGAGTGATAACCCCAAAATAATAGTGAAGAAAATAAAGCTAGTAGAGGTTACTTATCTGAGGTTACAAAGCCTTAAATGATAGAACCACAAGTAGAGGCAAGATCCTCTGACTCCAAAATTCATGTTTAAGTATCAGCAGAGACATGTAAATAGAGATCATTTCTAATCTCTTATCTCTCTTTGGATTCTTAAACAAGAAAATCCAGTCATTTTTGGGTAGTACTCATGACTCTCAAAATTACGTGCATGTCTGTTGTATCACCATTTTCATAATATCCCTGAATTGTGCTGCCCCAACATTTATCCATCATCTACTATGTGCCAGGCACTGTTCTAGATGTTGAACACGACTGGTAAGGTCCCTGTTATCATGGAACTTCCTTTACTCATTTAAATAGAGAAGAAACCCAAGGCACAGAAAAGCAAAATGATTATGAGAGTTAAGCACACAATAGATACTCTAACTTCAACCTCAGCCTCTAAATCACCATGAATGGTAGGTACATTACACACTATGACTTAAGAACACTCTTAAACACTCAAACACCTTTGCATAGAAATGAGTCACCAAAAGGAATACCTTGGAATTACAGATCCCTTTTGAAGAGTGTGGTACTGCTCCCATTTAACAGATTGGAAAACAAGTGGAGAAAGGTTTAGTAATTTTAACTTGCGCAACTTCATGTTGCTGTTAAGTTATCAAACCATGGTTCAAACTCAGGCACTGTGAGTCCAGAGCCCACCCTCTTAAGCATGTCACAAATACTGTGTCTCTTATGGCATGCATCATGTTCTTTCATTATAGCCCTCAGCTTTTCTCCATTATTAGATTGTAAATTCCCTGTAGGTAGAGAGCATGTCTTACTCAGGTCTGTTAGCACTATCTTCTCATTGGAAGTTATGGTGCTATAGCATTCCCTAGGATTCTTATTTTGAAAAGTCAAAGATTAAGTGGTAATTCAACATGAACCCTTCTGCTGTAGCATGCTAGCAAGGAGTTTTGTCAGATAAGTACCTTCAAGGCTGGCAGAGCTTTGGCCACCTCTATCAGTTTTCAATCAATTAGACCTGTAAAGATGAGTTTTTCTCAGAATTTGAGCTTTCAAATTGGAATGTTAATACCTGGGATTCTTGATCTGTAGAGCATGCAGTTTCCATAAAAAATCTCTATCCCTGCTCATTTCACAGCAACAAGATCTAATCCTGTATTTAGAGTAAAAAATTGGGATTCCCAAATGATTTCTGCCTATAACTTTGGATAGTAGACTAATCTTTGAAATAATTTGTTCAACAATCCATTTGATGAAACCGCAGTGGGCATGGGGGTGGAGGAGACATCACTTTGAGCCATAGGAAGAAACATTATCAAAGTATTCTTCCTTAAAAAGAAAAGTTAATTTTGATTTTTAATTAATATTCATCTATAATAATTCTAAATAAGACAACATAAGGAAAATATTAAAGTTTTTACTTTAAAATTGCACACACTAGATTCATTATTTAGATTTTATAATTTTTTAAGTATTCACAAGTTTTCTCATGAAAGTTGTCTTGGTAAAACAAAATTAATATTATCTACCGATCTACTGGAAACAGTAACATGTTCCAGAGTTGTTTGCCAGGCCACCACCAGCAGCT